CACACACACACACTCCCAATCGATTAATTCCAGTCCTTGCTGATATTGAGGTTCCACTCCCAGGATAAGTAGACGTTCTTGTCATCATCAGTGAAGCAGGACTTGATCTGATACTGGCCACGGGACATCGCGCCTTTAGCTGCCTCATCGATCGGGCAAAGAAACTCCTGCTCCTCTGCGCGTGGGCCGTAACTTCCTACCATGTACACCGCCTTGTTCACTGTGAAGAGACGCAAACAGAGCATGTAGCTCTCTAACAACCTTTTCTCTGAGTCTAACAATCTATCTGTGCATTCACTGCAAACATTTCAAAGGTGCCATTTTCACCCTTCTGTACTTTTATTTTTGTACAAAATGTATGTGACATACAATATTTTGTTCATAAAAAATAGAAACACAAGTCCATTTCACTGACTGATGTTCAGTGTCTTTGTTGATGGATGTTTAGTTGCATTCAAACACAATATGTGGACAATATGCAGAAGCTGCTCAGCCATGAAGCTCCCTGCACAAAGTTTTTGTGCTGATGTTAATGCCCGTGGAGGTTTGGATCTCTGCAGTCGTCAGCGTGTTGGTTACCCCCATCGTTAACTCTACATAGTCTGACACTTTGTGGCTGAGTTGCTATGGTTACTTAATGGTTCCACTTTGCAATAATACCACTTTAGATGATCGTCACATATTTAGGATAGAATTTAATGAACTGACTTGGTGCACCATGCTCGAATTAAGCGAGCTCTTTAGAATGACCCATTTTTCAGAAATGTTTGTAGAGGCAGACTGCATGGCTCGATGCTTGATTTTACACACCTGTGGCAATAGGATCCACCTCTTAACTTGGATTCAAAGGTTAAGACGTGTGTTCCAGCACTTTTTTTCATGACTGAACTTACTTCTCACTCCTTTTCTGTAGGTCACTTGACGGTACTTCAGGCCAGAAACGATTTCTCTGTTCACCTGCAGACACACATAGTTTCATTAATTAGTGATTTCCTCTTTCCAGGCTGCCCCCACCCCCCAAAAAAGAAATCAGTTCACACAGACTCAGTGAGCAAAAGGTAAGTGAGAGTGTCTAATTCACATAATGCATAATGCAGCATAAACCGATGTAAAAAAGAAATCTCCACACAACATTAAGGATATCTTTGCTACATTAATGGAAACACATTTTCATGTACAAAAGGAAAATGAAGTAATTAAAGAAAAAAATACCAGACACTTAAACAAAATGTACATAACTGAGATTTGTAATCTTATGTGGACTAATTTAGTCCAGATCTTCTAACATGGGACACAAACAGAGAGACTACAATTGCTCATCACTCACTATGCAAAGTGCCTTAAAACACAATTACCTTTTATTCAGATGAGACCACAGCTGGAAAAAACAGCTTCGTGTAATATGTAGCAGCATTCCTCAGTTAATACATCCATCATTACAGTACTTCTGCTATTGGAGATTTACTGCTATCCAGCATCCTTTTGGCAAATTAAATCAATTTTTTCATAAGTAGCCCATAAGTAGTTTTTTTAAGCAGATTTGTGTTGATTAGCTTGTATTTTATCCATTTCACAAAATGGGTTATAAGTTTCACTTTATTCGTTACATTTTAATGAGGTGAGAAAAAAATACTAGTCTCAAGGAAAAAAGAGAGAAATTATGGGATTGTCATTATTTCTACACATACCCTTACACACACATAAGATCTGTGGGACCTTAAACATTCAATCAATGAAGTAAACCATTGTTAAATATAACAGCAAACTGCAGTGATAATCTTTGCCCAGCAGGTGTCCTCGCAGCACAGCCGAGCTGCTCATTCCCTGAGCTGTTTGGCTATTCTACCCACCTCTACCTTTTCCTTCAGGGCAAGGTCTCTTGGGTCCTTCCTCAAGCCCAGTACTTCCACACATTCACACTTAGACACACACTGACCTATTTTCTAGGCTAACTTACTCTTTGCTTTTCAATAAAGATCCAGGTGATAGGGTGACTCGCTCCTGGTGATTCATTCAAATTACTTCTGTATCATAACAGCAATGTTTAGCTTTCATCTCCAGGTCAATAGTATTTCTCGCACTCTCAGACAATGAGACCTACGCAGGGTTATAGATGAGCTGGCTCCTGGTTGTCTTACAATCAGCTCCACCGAATTTCAAAAATGCGATAAACTACTATCCCTACTGACTCAAGGGAAGTTCCTACATGCAGCTAAACTACAACTGAGTTCTGACCTTTTCTTATTTCTGTGGCAAATAATTAATGAAGTTACCCTCTGGGGAATTCACTTGGTTTCAAACACATTTTCATCACCTCAGGTGTTTATTGTGAATGTGACAGCTAAACGTTGAAGGGTTTATTTGTAACAGAGAAAAGAAGGAAGAGATTAGAGGTGTGAGGAAGTGTGGATGGCAGAGCATGAAGTGAAAAAGAAGAGAACAGGGAAGTGAGGCAAGAGAAAGGCAGGAAAGGATGATGATGCTGGGAAGAGGAGAGGAGAGTGTGGAGGCTGGGCGGGGTAGCATTTGAATGATTAAAGGAACATTATTAAAAGAGACAGAGGAAAGAGGAATTGAATTAAATCACTGCTATCATCAGGCTTATTAATATAACAAATAAACTAGGAGGAATTTGGGCTGTTACTGGTGTCATAATGAGCAAACATAACTAACTGGATATTTACTTTTTTCTTTACATTTACATATAGAAAAAAAGCTCTGCATGCACTTGGCAATACGGAAACACATTCAAATAAAAATTTAATGTTCATTTGCAGCATTTATAGCAACGTTATCCAAACCTTTCAGGGAAATTTACAACATCAACACAATCATTAAAGTCACTTTCACACATGCACCACAACTCCGAACTTAGCCTGCCGGCTATCTAGCACAAAGCCTGTGTGAAGGCGCCAGTGGGAGAATATTTTGGTTATGTGTGCTGCCTCCACTAAACCACACAGAGGACTTCCAGTAGTACAAAAGCTACTGAAGTGGACATTTTCCCACAGTGTGAGAAGTGACAGCTGTGGAAAATGACCCTACCTGTTTCTGTCTCCTTATAATTTTACAGTACGAGATGTAGTCAGTTGTGCACGATATCCTTTGAACACAGTGTTCTCACTGTATCCTGTACTGTGGCTGACAGATACCTTGTCCCTTTGCAAAGACAAAGTATAAATCAAAAAGAGAACCCCCCCCCCAAAAAAAAAAAAAAAAAATCAGGAAAAGATTGTTGAGGGCTGATTCCTGTGTAACCTTTACCCCTGTCTGGACTGATTTCTGCCAGGTTGTAGTGAAAGACAGTCTGAATTTGTGGTGAGATTCGAGTGTGAAACTGATATGTACAGGACATATACAGAACCAAAATGTCGTTTCTTCCTGACCCATGGTATGCAAATAAAACAAATAAATATAATATAAAGTAAAAATAAAAGACAGGGCTATAGGATTATGAGATAGAAATATAGAAAAATATGAGTGGTATTGCAGTTTTTATGTACAA